TAAAATATTAGGAAGTTAACTAGAATACAAAAGATAATATTAGGAAATAAATATCTTCCTAAAATATATTATACGATATATCTCATTATGTATTATTTGACTTTTAGTTAATTAAAGGTTAAAAAAAAATAAGTGTTAAATATTTAAATTATGAATTAATAGTCACAAAATAAATAATTTTTTTTTAAAAAAGATATTTGTTATTTAAAAAAAATGTGTCTAAATCACATTTTGAGGTACGATTTGGTTATAATTTCAATATGGTGCATTTGAAAAAAAATGTAAACCGATTTGGTGTGGTTTTCATATCGGACGGCAAACAACACCCTACTCATGTTGTATCGTGGGTTAAGGTCTTTGGCATAACTCACAGTTTGGAACTTAATTTTTATTATTAATTGATTAATATAGATTTTATGACTATTATTGTATGATGTTTAAGGTTTCTCTCTACTCGCGGCATGTAAAGGTGTTAAAATCGAACCGATCCGAAAAAAATTATCTGTTTCAAACTGTAACCGATCCGATTTGACTCGAAAAATTCAGGACCCAAATCCGATTTGTAAACGACCTGAACTTAATCCGAATCCGAATTTAACCCGATCTGAATTTAACCCGACACTGATTTGACTCGACTTGAACTCAAACCGAACCCGATATGACCCGACTTGAACTCAACCCGATCCGAAAATGGCCCGACAAATAACCGATTTAATCCAATATGTTTTAACCCGAACTGATATTAATCCGACCCGATTTTAACCCAGCCATAATTTTAAACTTAACCTATTATTGACCTTTTTTTTCAAGTTCTTATACTACTATATATTTACAAATTTACTAATTATTAATAAGTTAGAAAGTCTAAAACTCTAACAAGTATCTTTTACAAATTGAATTAGTAGTAAAGCAAACTAATAGGTTCTTGTAGCCTTATGAAATTAAACCATTAAAGAGTAGTGCCTTAAAAAGTGGACATTCTTTTTTATATATTACCATATGTGACTATTATCTATCAATCTATCAGTCTATCAAGTTCATTACTAATCGTCTCATTTCTGTACGTAGGTATGATAAGTCATCAATAATTATTCAAGATAAATATTACACAAGAATTGATTGAATGAGAAAACTAATTTTTCACATTTCGTAATAATTAACCATGCAATATGAGAAATGACACATGAATGACTTGATATCGACCCAATAATAAGGTAAAAATTCAATAATTACTCTAGTTTAAAAATGACCTTATTTGGATATTGAATTTGGTCAACTTGACCAAAATCTAGACAAACACGGAAATGATTTGAATCTGAATTGACCAAATACGGAATAAACCTTATCCTAATCAAATCGAACTTGACCGAACCAAAATCATCCGAACCGAAATCGACCCAAATTCATCCGACCCGAAATTAACCCGGTCAAATCCGTTTTGAACCCGATTCGAACTTTTTCGAACCGAACATGAACCGATCTCGAGTTGACCAGACCCATATCCGACCCGGACTCGATAAGCCATGACCCGAATTTGACCCGACCCGATCCGAGTTAATAGAATAATTTTAACCTGAACATATCCGATCCGAACAGACTCGACATGAATAGACCCAACCCAAACTCCATCTGATTATCTGAATTGACACCTCTAGCTGCACGTATTGTAACAAAATTTTGTCACATATTTAATTTTTATGGTGTCATATTCTCGTACTTGTATCAATTATATCCATAAAATATTGTACGTACAACACATTAGTTACATAATTACATTACATGTGCATAAATAGATTCATAAATTCCTTTAATATAGCTCAAAGAGTTAATGGCAGAAGTAATGCTCGCATCCATTAACCTCTTTGACCCAGATTAAATGTAAATTTATTGGCAAAGATAGTGAAAGTTTTCTTTTCATGAAAAAAGGAGGGACATATAAACACGAGGAAGAAATACTTGTCCTATTTTTCTTTTTTACTTTCTTACGGAGTATAATTTTTGGTGGATATAAATTCAGGTAAAGATACTAACTAGTACAACTAGTATCAAGAATTCAGAATTCAGACCCTATATATATCTCCACACAATACCTTAGATATATGTCCCCTATCAACACATTGTAATTGACTTTAATGTTGTTCCATAATTAATTTCATAAAAAAAAAAAAAAAAAAAGTTGTTCCATAATTATGGCTCATAGAAAATGCCAGGGAGCCTCAATTTATCACCTTGATAAGCAAAATTCGTTTATCAAGTGTCAAAATCGTAAATAAATCAATAAAAATGTCCAGTCAACATGACATTTTCGTAATTATATCAACAACTGTGGGTCCCATATTTACTATAAAGTTGATGGTTTATTTACAGTTTTGTCATTTAATAAACAAAAGTTGTTTATCAAGGTGGTAACCTTGTATTTTCTATGAAAATAATGGCTCCATTTTCTTTCTTATTTATTTATTGTACGTATGAAGATTAGGAAAACAAAAATAAGTTAAGCGAGCATATAAAAAGATGAATACATAGTAATGTAAGGATGATTAAGGTTTTGTATGATATCTCAATTCAAGTAGGTTAAATAATACAATGCTAAAATTAAAGGACATCTTAATAAAATAAGAAAAATGTTACATACAGTCTGAAAAACTGAGAATAATTAAATAATAATTATATCAATTCTCAAATTTATATCACTAAAAAATGTGTCTAATGTTTATATGCAACCATTAGAATTAAATATAACATCATTATGAGTGTTGAAATAAAAGAACCTAGAGCTCTGATACCATGTGTGAGTTTTTAGACTAATGCAACTCACCTTGATTAGGGCTTTGGCGCTTATATTTATAATAAATCAAACATGACCTAATTAATGAAATGACGTATTCGTCTTTATATCCTAATAATCACAGTCTAAGAACCTTATAATTTCCTTTTAATATATTTTTACCTAGTGTTTTTTTACTATTCAAAAAATTATTTAATCTTTTTAGTATTAATATTATTATTATAAAAAAAATAAATAAATAAATAAATAACAAAATGTTCCCTGAAGTTGTATGAAAATGGAGGTGTCCTACAAAAACAGGGGTAGCTTGCTATTTGCGTGGTAGTACCCTAGTTAAAGGAACTTCAAAACATGGAAATGTGGTAGTACAAGAAGAAGACGACGTTTGGGTGTTTGGATGGTTGAACGGCAAAATAGCAGGGTAAAAAGGGCCCACTAAAGAAATAGAGAGTAGAGAATAGAGAGGTGAAGGTAAATTAAATGTGACCCAAACAATCCCCATGTGCCTTACCCTTTAGGGGTTAGCATCCCAATAGATGTAGGTCACCTTTCCTCGTGATTCTTCCTCTTTGTTTTTCTTTCTTGTTTGTTTTGTGCTATGCAGTTCCCACTTCCCAGCCCCTTGTTTTTGTCCCCACAATATGTTATGTCATTTCCACCACCTCTTGTTTTTGTTCCGTAGATACTCCCTCCGTTTTTAAATTTAGGTCGTAAGTTAATTTTGATTGAGCTAATTCAGATTTGAGTCATGTTAAATAATTGTGTCTATGGAGATTAAATTCTGAATCATTTTATTTTGTTATTCTGTACGTATTAAATTATTTCGAGTTTGTCAATTTTTGACAACCACTTGAAAACAGTGGATTAACGAGTTGAGTTACGACTTATGAGTATTATAGATTAGATTCAATAACACACCAAATTTTAAATCAATTTATATCGAATTGAGTTCAGAACAAATTTAACACCTACTCGTTTATATTAGTGGGTTGAGACAAATGAGACAATATGCAAAAAGAGACAAAAGTTTCGATGCTCAAACGTTTGGATAAAAAAATTAATATGGTTGTGGATCAGGGCCTCAGGGGTGATGATGGACCGATGGTGCATTTGATGAACAGCTAATGGGCTTGTAAATGGGCTATTCACTATTGGTGACACCCACTTATTATTATTTTTTTTACACAAACTTATTAATTTTTTGAAAGTTACTTTTTTTTTTTGTTTTTTATTTTGAAAATTACTAGTACTAACATAATTTAATTTTTTTTAAAAGAAATTTTAAAGGACCCTATATTTCATCATAATTAAAGTCAAACGATATTTATAATTGACAATTAACAATAACGAAAATAGTTTAACAAAGTCAAACTAGAGTTAACTAGGGAAGGGCTAAGAATCCAAATACATAGATATAACAATTCGGCACATTACCAATTCGTTATCTTAAGTAAAACTTTCTGAGCGAAATAAGTATGATATAATTTTATACATCATGACAAAGCATGACATTAATAAGTGAAGGGCTAAGCATGTACACACAATATGACTCAACACAACGTGCATGTACACTTGTGGTTGTGCTTGGTCACATTTTAGAAAATTACTTGATCAAACTTTAGATCGAATCAAATTTTGGTTGAAAAATTTAGGTCCAAATTTGCAAATTTAAGTTAGGCTTTGCAAATCATATTCACGCTTGGCTTACAAAACCTTTTTCACATGCTCTAAATCTTCTCTTTTTTCAGGTGTTGAGTTCTTGATACAATTGACATAATCCTTACATAAAACATAGCATATAGCCCAAACCCAACTTTTGATCAATTGGTTTAAATGTAGCCTCGTGCCCAAAAATCCCAACTAATATTAATTAATCTTGTTAAGAAATTTTAGCCCAAAAATTGGGCTTGGCATGACTCCTCAGTCAGAAACCGATCACTACTCATGTAAACATGTAGCATTCAAATTCGACCTATGATCACCTATAGATGTGTCACAACTTGACCCGCATGACTCAAGTTTGAAATAGATCTGACCTCACCGAATCCAACGCTCGAATTGACACCTCTAATCACCTATAGATGTGTCAAAACCTGACCCGCATAACTCAAGTTTGAAATAGATCTGACCTCACCAAATCCATTACTCGAATTGACACCTCTAACCTCTAGCCGTGTTAACAAACACTAGTGCTTCAAACTTGTAGAAGTGAGTTGACTCTAGAAGTCAGAAGTCGAGTATCAAAATTCACAATCCAATCGTTCTCTCCCGCAAAACAGAAATGAGATGAGAGCAGCATCACTTCTCAAATTCCTTCCACACCCATCTTCTCTCACTCGCACTCCTTCTTCCTCCTCTCTTCCTCCTTTCACCCCCAATTTCAATCAACCTTCCAATTTTCCCGCCATTTTCTCCAAAATTAGGGTTTCGGCTATGTCGACGGCTGCTAATTTAGGAAATTCAAGGGAGTTCGCTTTGTCTTCTTCTAGTCGTCTCAAAATTCAGCAGGGCGATATCACTCAGTGGTCCGTCGATGGCTCCTCTGACGCCATTGTTAGTCCTCTTCTCTTTCTCTCTCCTCCTTGCTTTTGCTTTTCATTTTTGTTTGCATCTCGATTTTTTATTAGTAATGTGTTTTTTGTAATTAGCACTGTTGATCATGGATTATGGATTTATATAATTAATTTTTTTGTTGTTTTTGCTTAATTGAATTGCGATTATACGGAGGAAACCCAATTTGTTGCAGTATTTTTATCTGCTTAATTTAATCTTTGTGTTGCATGATTCTGTTGTATGATCGAGTTTGAAATTGCTATACAAAGCCCTTTAAGCCTTGAATAGTATAGTTGAATCTATGAGTGGACATTATTAAGCACTTGATGAGCATTACAAATCTATCGAAGCATAATTTTGTAGTAAATTTTGAATTTATTATGAAGTATAGCAAGTTAGAGCTTGGATGATACATACAAAGTAACAACTAACAAGTAATGTATACATTATAATATATAATGCAAGCAATGTGATACGAAGTAAACTAATTCCTAAAAGAGTTTACTTTATATGAAATGACTATACAACCTCTAATCATGGATTCTATGCACTGTGTTACCTCATCTATGATTTTTTTTAAAAGCTCATGACATGAATTTTGGCGCTCGCTTAGCATGCGAGAGTACGGGGATTGATTCCCCGCATCTCTATATTTACCTGTCTTTTTCGGATGATATCGTTTTGGTGGATGAAACTAAAGATGGGGTTAATGCCAAGTTGGAGCAATGGAGGCAAAGGTTGGAATCTAGAGGGTTTAATCTAAGTCGAAGTCAGACTGAATATTTGGTATGTCGCTTTGGTATTCAGAGGGGGATAAGTGATGAAGTGGTGAGTTTGGATGGAAAAGAATTGATCATGAGTGAGTGTTTTAAGTATCTTGGGTCAATCATCCAGAAAAATGGTGACATTGATCAAGACGTGGCCCACAGGATTAAGTTAGGGTGGCTTAAATGGAGAGCGGCTACGGGAGTGTTATGTGACCGAAGTATTCCCTAACAGTTGAAGGGAAAATTTTACAGGGACTTCCAGTATTGCTTTATGGTACAGAATGTTGGGTTTCTAAGAAGGAGCACATTAAAAAGATGGAGGTTACATAAATGCGCATGTTAAGGTAGATGTGCGGGAACACTCTAAGACATAGAATCAGAAATGAGGTTATTCGCAAGAAGGTAGGTGTGACAGGTATTGCAGACAAACTAAGGGAAAATCGTCTGCGTTGGTTTGGGCATGTAAGACGGAGATCCGAGGGTGCACCAGTTCGAAGAGTGGAAGAGTAGGACCATGGAGGGGTTAAACGAGGGAGAGGGAGATCGAAAATGTCTTGGTTGGAAGGAGTTCGGAAGGATATGAAGTATATAGATTTGCATGAGGATGAAGCATTGGATCGTAAGGGATGGAGGAGGAAGATTTTTGTGGATGACTACATGGAATAATCAAATTTGGTTCATGTAGCTGACCCCACTTATGAGACTAAGGCTTTGATTGATTGATTGAATGACATGAATTTTTGGAAAATAAAATAATGCATTACAGTTCTCATCCATGAATTCCATGAATTGAAACCAAAATATATCATGAGTTTAATTAAATTGTGCCTCGGTTTTCTTGTTAAGTGATTTTCTTTTTTGTATAGCTAATTGCTAGCCAAACCGATAATTTTTGGTGAATGTTGTGAAGAACACATGTTGTTTGATGCGATATATAGACTAATCTTGGCATGACATACTTCCATTGCTAAGCTTTTACCACTGACTTTATATGCAAAATATATATTCCATCAGTTTAGTAAAAAAAAATTAGAAATTTAATAAAAAAAAAAATTACCAACGGTTATATTGTTTTGAGATCTATAAATAGACACCCATATTGATATATTTTTACATGTTTCACTAGTTTTCTTCTCCTTACCTTAGTTACTTATACTACTTTTTTTTTTTTTATATTCTCTTACTCTATAGATATGTAGTTTAAGAAAATTTTGAAAAATGTGAGTAAGTCTAAGACAAAATAAGATAAGGTAAGAGAGAGTATAAAATGATTGGTGAGTGAGTGTGAGAAAAAGTTGAATCGAGTAAAGAGGATAAGAAGGTGTAAGTATTATAGGGTAAAAGAGGTAAAACGGTGAAGAAGTATACCCAAATAGACTAAAACAAAGTTGTTAGAACATAAAGAATGGACAAAAATGAATAGTGGGTAAAACTAAAACAATGTATAGTACTTCGTAATTTTTTAGTTTATTCTTTGCTAATTAGTTTGTCTTCTTTTATACCAGCAAATATTAATTATTTTTTAGTTATTTTATTATTCTATCTAAAGAAAATGGACTATAATTATCCTTATATTAATAATAATCAAGATTAAGGAAACTAGCAAAATTTTGTTAACTTCAATTCTTCTTTAACAATTACATCTACAATTATATGAGTTTATGTGAATGACGAGAGAAATTATTCTAATTTTCTAAAATTTCACCTTAACAATTTCCTACACAACAAATTCCGTCACCAAGATTCCATAATCATTCTTCCCCACAAATTTTTGACCAAGCATCTGCCAACAAATTACCAAGGAAGTAGTTGTCAAGTCAATTCCTCTAGCCCTCAACTGGTTGAGGATGATGTGAAAGAACATCAAAGTGTATGTAAAGCTGTTATAGCTAGCAAATATTGCTATTATTTTTTCACTGGATTACTTTCTTGATTTTTCTTCATGGGGTGTTAGTGAATTCTTAACTAGCAAAGTTTACAACATATCCCACTTGACCTTCATTTATTCTTACTTCACCTTTTGTTCTTCCAACTACACGTGTTCCTCCTATTGAATTTGTTTTTCCATCTTCCTTTTCCTACCATGTTCAAATTCCAATCTTTATTTTTGGAGATCAATATCATAATCTCTCAAATATGCATGTATTGAAAAATCTTTGTCCAAATATATGAGTATATGGCAACCTTTTATGTATAGTTTACGATCTTCCTTTACTTCTTCATTTATCCTTACACCTATTTATGTCAAACTTACTCATAATGTTTTTGAGTACATCTCTTTTGCCAATACTACCATTATGCAATAGGAAATTCAACTTTATCTTTCCCTGACATACCAATTCTACTTGAATGATGCATCATTTTGTTGTTGTGTTGGATTTGATGCTCTCGCTGTTAAGATAAGAGTGTCTTAAGAGCGTCTTAAGAGCATTTTCTAACCTTTGTTTATCTTTATCATCTTCATATTCCTCTTTATTAATGGAATAAGGGCGACATGATTATATATATGAAAATGTTGTGGGAAAATTCTCTGTATAGGAATATTTAGATTTTTAGGAAATGAAATCCCTCTCACCAATCACCAAATGTGGATGAGATTATGAGAGGTTAAAGATTGATCAAATTATTTGTGAACTTTCTTGCTACAACCTTAATTATTGTAAAACGAGGATGATTAAGATTCATTTATTTGTTAAATCTATGAATAACACTTTATTATTATGTAAAATGACAATATCTACCGTAATACTTCGTTATATATAAATATAAGGCAAAAAAACCTTAGTCAATTAGCAATAAAGGAAATAAGAATATTATAATTAAGTGGGAGAGTGGAAAGAAAAATGTACAAGTAGAAAAATATATCAATATGGATGTCTATTTATAGATCTTAAAAAATATGTGTTGGTAGTTTTTTAATTTCTTATTCTATACAAAATTGTTGTAAAAAAAATTATTGTTACATATATAATCCTTGGGAAAATTTGAGCAAGAGACGCATGTCACATGCAGATCGGTCTGTGTACTAGTATGCAGTTAGGACAATTTTATTTTGTGGGATGGCCCATAGCCCACCCCCACATGAATAAAGGCGTGATTTCGTTCATGCCATGTTGTAGTTTTGGTTTTGTGATTTTGTCACACTGTGAATTGGTTATTTGTCATAGATGAGATCCAAGGTATTGTGTGTGTGTGTGCGTTTTTTTTTCCCTCTTGTTATAAAGTCATGTTATGGCTTAGAACAATAATGCGCAAAAATCACAGATAATAGAGATGCTTTAGAAACTTTGGTGTTTAGGCTGGATATAGCTTTTCTTGGTCGATTAGAAAGTGATGCATTAGGATTTATCTTGACAAATAGTCCCTCTTGTTTAGGATTCACTCTTGTAAATGCATGATAAGCTGATAACTACTTGTTACTTAAAACTTAATAAAGGTCGATGTGGGCTCGCTCTGTCTTTTCACAGTGTATTGACTTGTGTGTCACACATACATTTCACCCTGAGTCCTTGAGTCAATATAGGCTTTTGTTTTTAAGAGGCCATAATTTGATAGGTCAATGCTGCGAATGAGAGAATGCTGGGTGGAGGCGGTGTAGACGGAGGTACATCAATCATTGACCATTTCTGTAGAATAACTTGATGAGCTGATTTTTTTTGGATATGATTTAAGTATCTGCTAATTTTCTTTGTTTAGCCATACACAGAGCTGCTGGTACAGAACTCAAAAAAGCATGTTATAAAGTACCTGAAGTTCGCCCTGGAGTTCGCTGTCCCACTGGAGAAGCAAGGATCACTCCGTAAGTGTCTAAGTGTCTTAAGTGCCCCTGTTCGTACACACTGTTGTGCATAAATAGTTTTGTAAATTGTGTGCTAGTTATGTAATTTACTAACATAATTTACATCATCTTGCAGTGGTTTCAGATTACCTGCAGCTCATGTAATTCACACTGTTGGTCCAATATATGATGTTGACAAAAATCCCGAGGCCTTGCTGAAGAATGCTTACAAGTAACTTTTGTGCTTCTATATGTGCCATTGGTCATTTCTTTTTCTTACTTATTAAGTCATATAACTTGTGTCTCGTGCAGAAATAGTTTGCTTGTTGCGAAAGAGAACAACATTCAATATATAGCCTTCCCTGCCATATCTTGTGGTGTTTATAGGTATGTTTGCTAAGTTGAATTTGATAATCCTTCCATAATTTGCTCTTTCTTAGGAATAAGTTGATTAAAATATCCATTGTATTTTTTGTAAGTGCTGAAGAAAGTTTCTAGATATGGGATGACAGTATGTTTTTTGTAGCATCTGATGCTTAATCATGCTGTGCCCAAAAACATTTAGCTTACATCAGAGCTTGATAGCATCAACATTCATGGGGCTCCCCATAATTTCTCTCTCCTCACCTCATTAGTCCACATCACTTTCCACTAACTTTATCATATACCCTTTTCATTTTACAATTCCATACCTACATTCATTAACCTCCCCATTTACTTTCTCTCTCTTATTTTTCCATACCTCACCACCTTTTCTCTCTCCTACTTTCCATACCCCCACCAAGTGTTTTGGTGTCCAAGTGTGCAAATTGGGCCCACCTGAAATTTTGGAAGGCTTCCCATCAAATTAACCTCCCCAAAAATATTTATCAAATGGGAAAGGAGTAACATTGGTGGGAAGTCCCCATTTTCATTTTTTTGGCAAATGGGGAGCCTATTTTCCCACCAATGTGGATGCTCTGAGTGCCATGAATTTCAAAGTAGGCTTACATTTTGCAACGGGTGGAGTATATAGTTCGTAAATTGTTTGTTTTTTTATTTTTAAATTTTTTTTTAATTTTTATTTTATTTTTTATATTTTAAGGAATCATTAGGCTGCTGAGATGTTAAGTCACTCTTTTTAATATTTTAACTTGGTAAGGAATTTCTCTTCTGCAGATATCCTTATGATGAAGCAGCCAATATTGCCATATCCACAGTTAAGGAATTCGCCAATGACTTCAAGGAGGTACCAAATTGCTCTATCAAAGTCTGATATTTCTTTCATTATTATAGTATCTTGTCAAATTGCTCTCTCTCTCTCTCTTCCCGGTTACGACAACAATATCCAGGAGCAGGGGCATCAGGCATTTTCATTTACTAAGGAACTATCATATATTCTTATCCAGTCATTGACATTCTTATCCTGTATAAATTATCAGATTTTACTCAAACCTGCCCTCTTGTGCTCTTGTAATTGGTAATTAGCTTCAATATCTGGAGTTTGGAGTCACGACTCACAAGTTCCATTCCCCAATTCCCACCCATTTTCCGTGTGATGTTAGTTGGGTAGAATTATAGATAACAAACAGTTCATATCATGACTTGCTGCTAGCTGCTGCGGCATTATGCTACAATGGCTGCATTATAATCTGATGACAACAATGAACTTTGAATAATATATGCACTGCAAAGTGCAAACTAACAAGATTGATCTTAATCTCTTTTCAGGTTTATTTTATACTGTTCTCTGATGACATATACAATGTCTGGTTGGAGAAAGCAGAGGCGCTTGTTGGAAATTAAGGCTATTCTTCTCGACTTCAGATATGTGCTTAGATAAGTATGTACTGCCAGAGTTACTCCGAAGTTGACATTGAGCTGCTGAGAGGAAATATGTATTAACAGGTGTTGAAAAGTCTAAGTTGAGCTTAATTTGTTAGCCAATAATAATATAGGTTCATCATCGTGTTATCTTGTATTTCTTCTTGCACCCTTTCTGCTCTCTTTATATGAAATCACTAGTATGTAAGAATGTAACTGCTTTGAGGCATTGGGTTTCAACAAACACAATATAAGGCATTATACACATTCATGCTTCAAGCATAGTATCAAAGCAAAAGGTTCGCCCCTTCGCCTCAGCATCGTATAAACGTGCATATCAAAGAACTAGGTGGTGCATTTTTACTTTGTTGTATGAAAGAAGTTAATCAGAGTAATGCTTAGCAACAAGTTTTTCAAATGCGATATGAAAGCTATATAACAAAGTCTAGTTCTGAACTTTAACAAAAGCCTACTGATATCCTGTACAAATTGATCTAAAGATCATTCATCTTTGTCCTTAGATGTACTTCGAGAGAGTCTTCTAACAATATCCTCATCGACAACTTTGTATTGCCTTGAAAATCTTTGGTGTACAAAGCCTGCAAATTTATCAATCTTCTCTTCATATCTGCTGTACAGAGCCGGAATTGTAACAAAAATTATAGTGCCTGTGAACAACAAATTTCAGAGGTGAGAGGAAATACAAAATTCACAAAACACTAAAACAGAGCATTTCTAAAGCAAGTGATATCACCCAACAGATCCAAGTAGTGTGCCAAACATACTCCAAGAGTCCGATGCGAGAGGAAAAGATTAAAGAACCTTAAATTCTAAAAAAATAATAATAATAAAAACAAAATTTTAGCAAACACAGAATATCATGACTCTGGATTCAAAAGAAATAATAACCAAGAGCCGAAAATAGAAAAGGGGAGATAAGGCCAGAACAGGCGAAGGTACACCATGATCTTCGGCCACACGTGGTGGGTAAAGGTAGTTGTTGCCCTTGTTGGCCTATGCAACTACAGGTCGAAAAACTGAAAGGGGTTCCAGATTTTGAGGGTAACTTAGTAATTACATACCAACACCTGTTTTTTGTTCCCCTACATGTGTCGATTATGCTTTAAATAAATACATTTTACAAGATGCCCTCATGTTAAGCACAACAAGATAAGATCCAAAACAAGGTTAGGGGAAACTGTAACCAGAAAACCAGTGTCAATACGCTTGCAGATGTTGAAAGCAAGTAAGACAACAAAGGTACAGCTTAATAATCAGCAGGCAAGGAAAATTTCCTAAATAAGCACAAAATATTTTATATCAACCAGGGAGATTAAAGTATCAGTTGCATGGTCAAGGAAGAACTAGTAGAAAACAAAAGCGGATTATCAGTAATATAGCCAGAAATTAAAAGCTTCTTGGAAGATAACAGCATCTGTGGAATTGTATTGGCATTGCACTGTATTCCAGGTAAAATTTGTCAAGGAACCTTATACAAAGAGGGACACTATAGATAATTAAGAAGGGGATTGCATCCTGATGTGAATCAAGTGCTCATTCTTATAATTATCTTTATTGCTTTATTTAGACAATAACTATTAAGACAATAATAAAAACATTATTTAAAAACTCACTTGTAAAACCCCTACTTTAAGAGTAAGGTAAAACCAAAAGAGTACCTAAATAAAGCAATAAAGATAGTTATAAGAATGGGGACTCAATTCACATCACATCCTAATGTAGGCACCAGGTAACAGTAACCCAAATCAGTTGGTTGACGAAATTGAATATCTGCTGCAAAAAACTAATGTCTTTCCAGTGGCTTAACGACCAATATTCCTTTGGGCTTGTAAAATTGAGCCAGCGTGAAATAGACTTTACATCATAGTAGAAAAGCCCAAAGAAAGTGAATATTGCTGTTGCTAAATTTCCCTCTATCTCTGTTATCAATAAAATAAGATATCAGAGCAACTTTTTATACTTCATTACTCCATAGTTACCTTTAAATTCTTCAAGACAAAAAGCATCTGCACTGTATAAAGTGGGAATGTATGCTAGATTAAGTGATATAGCAAAGCCAAACCAAGCTGTTTTCCAAAATAAGGTTATTGATAGTGAAAACGTATAATTGCTATCCCGACTAAAGCAATGTTGAGCCCAGCGTTAGACGTTGAGGTAAATACACCTCTTGCAGGATAATCAACTGACCAAACAAACCACAAGCACGTTCTAGCTACTAGTTTGTTCTAAATCATAATAACCCAAGCAATATGACATGTCCTCAAAGATCGACACAATTCCAGCAATATCAACACATAAAACGCGGCAACATGAGGCATATGAATAAGCATGAACAATCAAGCAAAGACAGATGATATTTACGTGGAAAACCTAAGAGAAGAATAAAAACCACGGGACGATTAGGGAGTACACCCAAATTTCTCTTATTATAACAATAGAATGATCCACAATAGCAATTCCAAGTCTTAAAAGTGGGCACTCAATTTACCCAACAAAAATCATCATAAGAGCTAAAAAATGGAGGAAGAAATTGAGAAATATCACCAAAAAACAGGGTTCTCTCCAGTAGCTGTAACTCACAAACCGTAGCAATAAATGACAATCACACCGTTGAAAATGAAGGTTTAGATGTCCCAAATAAGCTATCAAAATTTGAGCTAAATCAAACCGCGGATGAGCTTCGATCGGAGGTGATTTCTAGGGCTACACGGTGAGAAACGCGAATGGGACTGCTCTTTGTAAAATTTCTGTATTCCACTCTTTCTCTCAACTAATTTGCTTCCAACTGTTTACTCCCTCTACTGCAGCAAGTAGTGATTGATGTTGCCCACTCCTTTTCCACGGAAAAAGGCACTCCAAAGTCAACAAAAGAAGCTTCTTTGAGAAGCTACAAAATACTTGGGCCAAAAACTATGTAGTTGCCCCCAAAATTAATCACCAAAATATATGAACTTCTCTACATAGGAAGAAACCCATAACCCAACAAATCTCCCCCTCCCGACTACGTCGAGGTGGTTGTAATTCCGGCAATCGATTGACAAGTCTCAAACTTACCTCTTGGTAATGCCTTCGTCATCATGTCGGAGCCATTGTTATCGGTATGGATTTTCTCAAGCTCAAGACACTTAACATCAAGAACATCCCATATCCAATGATACCTCACATCAATGTGTTTCGACTTTGCATGAAAGGTAGATGTCTTATCGAGATGAATATCACTTTCTTGGGTTATGGGTCCCCCTTCCCATGTTGAGAAGCCCATATATTGATGATTAATTTTGGGGGCAATTAGATAGTTTTTTGCCCAAGTATTTTGTAGCTTCTCAAAGAAGCTTCTATTGTTGACTTTGGAGTGTCTTTTGTTATGGAAAAAGAGTGGCTACAAAGTCTAAGTGAATTACAAATTGCTGCAGCAAAGGGAATAAATAGGTGGAAGGAAATTAGTTGAGAGAAAGAGAGGAAAAACAGAGAGTTTACAAATACCAGTCTCATTCACGTTTCTCATTGCATAGCCGTAAAATCACCTTCGATTGGAACTCATCCATGGTCTCATTCAATGACAATGGCGTGATTGTCATTTGCTGCTATAGTATGTGAGTTTCAGTTGCTGGATAGAACCCTGTTTTTCTGGTGATATTTCTCAATTTCTTTCTCCATTGTTTAGCCCTTATGATTGTTGTTATTGGGTAAATTTAATACCTACTTTTAATACTTGGAATTATGATCGTGTATCATTCCATTATTATAATAAGCCTATAAGAGTAATTTAGGTGGACTCCCTAATCATCTCGTGGTTTTTACTCTTCGCTTTGAAGAGGTTTTCCACAAATATATCGTGTCTTTGCTTGATTGTTCATGTTTTTTCATATGTCTTATGTTGCTGCGTTTTATGTATTGATATTGCTGGAGTTGTGTTGGTCTTCGAGAACATATCATATTGCTTAGGTTAGTGTGACTTTGAACAAACAAGTAGCTACCTCAACATATCATAGTGCTTGTGCTTTGTTTGGTCAAGTGATTATTCCGCAAGAGGTATGCGAGACAGCCATGTAACCCAATGTGACTTGGTGCCCGACCATGTGGATGTAGAGTGGTGCGGCTCGATGGTGGGGTACAAGTCTTTGGTAGTGTTGTGTGGGAGACCCTCAATGCGACCTCGCGATTGAAGATCTATGATGTTGAAAGCCCACCTGATATTATAATGGTCAAAGTGGCGTGTCCCGTGGTGGTAGCGGTGGTACAAGATAGGAGATTTGTCGTGTTGCAGCCTTGCGTCTAAAGTCCTCTTGATGTTATGGTTTAGGCAGCGTGTTCCGTGATGATAGCAGCGGTGCAAGATAATAGATAGTTTCGCTTGAGGGGAGGCCATGAGTTATAAGGTCCTTGGTGTGAGGGGACGTTTATTGGGTTGTTCATCCCAAGTCCCACATGGAAGAAATAAGAAAGGGATGACTTCCTTAGAAGTGGAAGCACACTCCATTAGTATGAGGTCATTTGGAAAGATCCTTAAAAACAAATCCGTGCGGGCTAGGCCCAAAGCGAACAATATCATACTAATGTGAAGTGGAGTGTGCGTGTGGCCCAACAAGGTGGGTGACCCCATAGAACAAAAATGAGGTATTGGTCGCGATCGCGAGAACGGTCGCAGTGTAACGGTAACAGAACCAATGCGTTCATCGCGGATCGGGTTGCGATTATCGCGGTAGAATTTTTTTTTAGAGCTATCAAAGAAAAAATATTTTTAGATAATTTGTTTAAAATTTTAAATAGATATTTTCTTATCCAATAGATTTAAATTGAACTTATCATAAAAAATTAATATATGTCGCTAGTAATTATAGTCCATAACAGCTCCATCTTTCTCAAATCAAAATATTAAAAGTAAATAAGAGGTTGAGTAGTCAAAAAGTCAAAAAAATATTAAAATATAACCAAAGTGAAAACCATCACACAACTGTCCACCTTTATTTGATTAATAACAGTTGTCCCACTTACCACATATTTACCTCGTTCATATCACTCTATCAGCCCTCAGCCTTTCACTTTCTTCTTCATTCTCTCTCTATTTATCTATCATGCATTCATGCGGTTGCTACGACTTGCTACACGCTAGCAACAATGGAGTCCGCCACAAAACTCCAACCAACTCACATATTCAAGCTTTTTTCGGGCATTTCAGCTGTGTAACGGTCGTATCGGTCGAAAATGCGGGATTTTTTAAAACTCCGTTACAAAACGGTAAATCTCGTAACGGCAGACTTCAAATCCGTTACATCTCGGCCGCATCGCGATGTAGCGGGCGAGTTTTTATTCTATGGGTGACCCGGCCAACACGTAGCCCCACAAAGTTGGGATTCGTCATGTTGCCCTACTACCCTAGTATGCCTAGATCTCACTAGCAAACAATTCTCTCCCGCTAAAATGGATTTTTTCACCCTTACCAGTTCACCAAAATCAGTCATCTCAAAGGAATTTCGCTCTTCAGCCAGTTAGTTGGTAAGGCTGCATAGATCATGAACTTGTCATATCCCAGCAGCAGCCGGGTCCCAACTTTTTCCTTGACAAAATCCAACCCCTTTCTCCAGCAATGAGAATAGGTAGAATGTAATGGCTGCCCTGACTCAGATTACATAGCATCGTTTACAGACAGCCAGTGGACCAAACAGGAAAAAAAATTAACAAATCCTTGAGCTATCTTCAGCAACTTTAAATCATGAGAAACCAGAACACGTTAAAGAGTTTTATAGTACAGCTACAATATGCCATCCAGACTCCAAAAGTAGCACAAGCATAGACAGCTATTGAACAGATAAAGTTATCCTATCTTAATATTACAATGTAAACCAGTAACCCAGTAATCCAAGCAAGCCCAAAGTGATAAGGTATAATCTAATCCCTGAGAGCATGGAATTGAACCGTAATTAAATCTTGCTTCTTTGTTACACAAACAGCAAATTTCAATACACTAGAACACTTTACCAAAAGTACAACAGGATCATACATTGTTTGGTTCTATGAAGTGCTAGACAGTAGTATGCATCTGGATGAAGTTACTAGCAAGTTACATTCCCACAGCATCAAGGTAATTAAATTGTTTTTGGAATAAGAAAAAAAAGGTAACGAACTAAAACTATTAACATTCATGAAGCAATAAAATCTTGCCCATATTAGCATCACCTCATAAAACACCATTCATGTAAAGTATAAATTACCGTCCTTGAGGGGTTCATGAGCCTTCACGAGCCTCAAATCCCTATGAAGATTCTAACACCTTTTCTCTTACAACAGATTCCTTTTACCTTGCAAAACGAGCGCTAATAACTATAACTATATCACATGAATCAAGATTCATTCCATGAAGTCATCTAAATTAATCCTTCTCTACCATTCTTGTCCATCAAGTGCCATGTGCTCGCGGAGCCCCTAAGCACTTCATTTCTTTTGTACATCATCAATCCAAGTCAACTTTAAAGTTTAAATCCAGTATCGCGAGTCTCAACCAAAAATGATCAAATTTGGTTAACATAAACTTCCCCTCTAACTCCAAATACTTTGCACAATAACTAATTAACATCACAAGAATGCATCAATCACCAACCAGACTATCCAAGCACGATTGCACTCATAAATACAGACAAGTATAATGATGCAACTTATGCAAAAAAACTATATGTGCAAAGTCTCCAACCACTAAAACATCTAGTAGCATCCAAATTGCAAACCAATTTCACCAATTCTTCATATCAGAATCATTTAAATGTAAGCATCACTTGTTGCTTACATACTTGAATTTTTTGCATACTTTTATCATTTAAGAACATAAAATTTTCTAAAAATAGCAGCAGCAAAATAGAAAAAAATCTTGGCCAAGGTAGAAATTTCTATGCAAGGCATCAAATATAATACATTTAAAAGTGTAATATAAAAGCAAGGATAGATCCCCATACCTACATAAGCAAGCGTAAAGAAAGAAAATAAGCTACCAACAACAGAAAAGAGCCACAACGCTGCCACCACCTGAAATAAGAAAGAATCTTGGTGAGAAACTTTACACACAAATGACTTGTAGTAATTAATAGGAATAGTAAGGGAATAAGGGATTTAAATGGCACACAATAGGCACAACAAATCTACAATGTTGGCTGAAATAATCACAACTTACCAAAAAAAGGGTAATCAATGTGGCAATTGGGAAAAGAGAATGATGATTTAAAATTGGAATGAGGAAATTCAGTTTAGTGATAATTAATTTTAAAAATTTGTATGGAAAAGCGAAAAATGTAATAAATATTGGCACGTTCACCAAATAGAAAAAAGGGAAATTGATGGAAAATTTTTAACCATACATAAAAAAAAATGAGAAGAACTTTTTGAGCCATCCTAATTGAAAATGGAACAAATAGGATCGGAGGGAGTAGAACAAATTTCTATCCGAAAAAGCAGTGTAAATTTGAGATAGTATAAAATATATATTCAATATGTAAGGAAAAACAACTGCTTCTGCTGAAATTTGTACAGCAGATAAACCTTGTAATTTGAATTGATTAGACTTGACAAATGGACATTTTGAAAAGTTCAACAGGTAAGACCAGCACGTCCCATGGTTTCAAACATGGGGAAAAAAAATCTTGCAAGACGTATTCATACATTAAAAATTAAGGCTCTCAGCTTCTCACAGATTGATATCATACCTTAAAGAACAGTCTGAAGTCCTTGCCAAGTGTGATATCATGTGCCATCAACAGAAAGTAGTTAACTTTGACACGAAAAGATGCAGCAGCAGAGGTAACTAAATCTTCTGACAACTCTAGTTCAGGCAGTTCTTCCAACTGTCTGCAGGAAATCAGATAAAACCTATATGGTCAAGCTTCTAACCCATGGAGAGCTGATAAACTATGAGACTGTGGACGAGAAAATAATAATATGAAAAAGAAGTGAAGGGAAAGCCAGACCTATTTGTAACAACAGCATAATTTGAGCGAAGGAACTGCAAAACTATCAAGATGAGCAGAACATCTGAGCTTACTGATAGGAATGGTAATCCAGACTGCTCAAACAATAGCCATGCAACAGTAGCAACAACAATGACCCCACAAGACAAGTGCCATTTCTTCCACAAGATCACATCAGCAGCTAAGCACAGAGAACGGAATATGAATCAAACAAATGCAACTTCAATGACGACAGAATCTAATACTTCTAAGTATCAGCCCTAAAGTCAAAAGTCAGAAGTCTCCAAATCAATTAAAAGGGTCTGGTAGGACTACAAAGCTTGAGACTGTTGTAAAGTATAAAGGAGCTTTCCTCAAAGAATCACCATAGGGTAAAAAATGATCACAAACTCCAGAAATTTCCATCCTAAACCCAAAGCTTAACAATGGGCATATTTTGTGCATACCACAACAATCTTGACACCTCAAGAAAGCACGGAACAAACAAAAAGCACACCAAACTCATTTGTATTCAACAAATAACAGTGGTACTAGTACATATCATGGGCCTGTAGTGTTTCGCCTTACTAGTGCTTCGTCCTACTCGCACTTATTGAAGTAGCATGGATGCATATTAGGCCACCCCCCCCCCTCCTCAATCGCGCTTATTAGACCGGCCCCCCTCCTTAGTCCCCAGGTACATGTGGATGGTATCATGAGACTGAAGAGTTTGTCCTCCAACGGTCTTCAAAGTAAAATGAAGGAGCAATACAGTTATTTATCACCCCATATTAAGAAGGGCAAAGGTCTAGATTATCTTATTTGGTGTTCCTTCCACCACTTCTCCAAAACCACCTAACCTCCCACTAGAAGGCAAGACATCTTACAGTAAACTGAAAAGGTGAACGATTTAGATTCATAGCACCAATCGCTAAGGTGCATATACATAGGTGTAAATGTGTTAAGGAAATCGACATATCCGTCCTTGAGGGAAAAGACAAGTAAATGGATTACACGAGTTCTGCAACAGCAAGATAGTGGATGGATTCATTGGTTTATAACTTTATACTGGTTTTTTATGAACGCTTTTCAACATGCGAACTTGAAAAGGACCTGTTTCTAAGTCTAGGAAAGTTTTAATTTTGATGCTCTTATCTAGAATAACCAAAGTTTCATAATTCAAAAACGATAAAGCACTCTTTGCAACCCTTCAGCAAAAGCCTTCTTCAAAATGCAATTCAATAAGAATCACATATGTAAACAGCAAAAACACACATAAGTCACTACACACAAACTAAATCAAACACGAGTAAAAACAAAATAATGATCATACTCCGCAACCTAGAATCAAATCCCGTATACATAGGGGTGGGACTTCGGTCTGGCGGTTCGGTTTGACCTCGGTTTGAGTCGGTTTCGGTTTGGAGCGGTTCGAATTAAAACGGTTTAGTTTAGCTGGCGGGTCGGTTTGGTTCGGTTTGGGTTAGTCACGGCTCGGTTTGGTTTCGGTTTATTTCTTTGCGGTTTAAATTCAGTTTGGGTCATAAGCGGGTCGGTTTATAAACGATTCGGATTATGTCGGTTCGGTTTGATACGGGTCGGTTTAAGGGCGGGTTTACCCGGGTCAATGTCAGTTCGGTTTACAAACGGTTTGGATCAAGCCGGTTTGGTTTGAAATGGGTCGGTTTAGGGGCGGATTTACCCGGGTCAATATCGGTTCGTTTTATAAACGGTGCGAATCATGTCAGTTCAGTTTGAAATGGGCCGGTTTAGTAGAGGGTTTACACAGTTCAATTGGTTCGGTTTATGAACGGTTTGGATCATGTCGGTTCGGTTTATAAGCGGTTTGGGTCATGAATTCATGATTGTTTTAAAGATCGCGTCATGACCATTTAATGAGTTGATACTTATAATACGATAAATCGATAATTAAGAATGTACAAGTATTCAATTAGATTGATCAACAAGTGTTTTAAACTTTTAAGTTTTAATAATCAGATATGTAAATATGTTTATCGATTGTAGTACATACCAATAATTCAACAAGGCAATGATACTTATGATAGTATGATAATGATACCAACCGTACATTCGTACGATATGATATACATAATAATTAATCTATAATTACATATACATTAACAATATCGTATTGAATCAATTTTCATTTCCAAACATTGCATTTCTTATAAATTATAACTTACACGAGATTAAATGGATTCGTTATTTAGTTTGTTACTATATTTAGATTACTAACTCAAACAACTTAATAAGTTAAATGGACGAAATCACGAAATCACTAATTAAAGTGGTGATGAAATCATTATGCAATACTAATGTACGAATAGTCAAATATACAACGGTTAGATTGAATGCCCATGAAAAACAATGGTTAGATTTTCATTACTTTATTAGTTATTAGTATTATTACTTATTAAGTTATTATTAGTTTATTATATATATTGATATACAGTCACAGACTCACAGATATATATAATATACATATAAACTATAGAGATGTCAGATATTGATGTGCATTAACTCATTAAGTCATTAACGGGTCGGTTTAAACGGTTTCGGTTCATAAACGGGTCGGTTTAAACGGTTAGCGGGTTACAAATGGTTCGGTTTAAACGGTTTTTTTTTTCGGTTTAAACGGTTTCGGCTTATAAACGGTTCGGGTCATTAACGGGTTTATAAACCATTCGGTTCGGTTTCGTTTCGGTTCGGATTTGCGCAGTTTGGTTTGTTATCGGTTTACGGTCCGTAACGGGTTGACATTGAGCGGTTCAATTCGGTTTCGGTTTGATATTGAACAGTTCAGTTCGATTTTCGATTTATATTTATCGGTTTATAAACGGATCGGTCAGTAATGGTTCGGTTCGGTAACGGGCGGTTTCACGGTTCGGTTTGAAAAGTCCCACCCCTACGTATACATCATTGCCCTTTGTGACTTTCTAAAAAACAGCAATGATAAAGTATGTAATTCTTACCTTGCCCACCTCCCATTATCTGATGCATCGGCTTCTGCCGCCCAAATAAACGGTAAACTGAGCTACAAGACGTTGAAGTAATACCACCCACATCCCTCTTTTGTTCACCATCCAGCTCACTATTACTCTGATCTTGTAAATGCTCCATTATCAAACACCCTAAAAAATTTTGCCACCAAAAATAAAATCATTAATTTCTTAGAAAATTAAAGAAAAATATGAAATACCCACTTGAGGAAATATGAGTTGAAGCATCAATGGAGATCTGAGCGTAACATTTACTCAACCAAATTTGTCAAATCAGCAACCCCAATTGACCAAATAACCTTGATTTTTCAACATTTTTGTTTCTGGGTTCTAGCAAGATTGAAAATTTATGAAGAAAAAACTTTTTGGGGGGGTTTATAAAATTTTTGGGTCAAATTAAACAAAGGAAAAGAACGTCACCCAATGTGATTTTCGCTTTGATCTAACCAATGTAAAGGGTTGAAGGTCAAGATGACGATATTAAAAGTGGAAGCACGTTTGTTTTAAAATCAAATTTAGCAAAATTTTATTCGATTGAAGGCTAATGAAATTTGATTAATTAGCTTGGGTGATGCAATGTACTTGTGTATGTTTGTTGCCTAGCTCAATTTGTCAATCTAGTTTCCGACAGTAGTTATACAAATTGCGTTGTTAGCGGTTTATGACTATGGGCCTATGGGCCCTACCTATTCCATCAAAAAGAACTATTCCTTGCTTTCAATAATGGGTATTCGATTTTGTTCCGAAAATTAATTTAAAATTAGTACGAAGTACAAGTTAATATTAGGAGAAAAATCAAGTTTATAAGTCTGATGTACAAAAAATTGTAACTAGGGTAGTATGATCATTTCAGCGAAAAAATGAGAGGTAACATTGTCATTTCACTTAATAAATGAAAAATAGCTTTGTCAAATCATTTTTTTTAAAGGTGATTTACAAAAGTGGTTGGGGCTTGCCCCTCTCCTTCACCAAAAAAAAAAAAAAAACAAAAGTGGTAAATCAACATGATTAAGTGGATCTTCCTCAAATATTACTTTGTACTAGTGTACATAGTAATATAAAGTATGCTAACAATGAATTATATCCTGACAAATAGGCGGTGAAATGTTTGATTAATGCAGAATAATAGTTAACGAAATAATAAGAACGAGAAAACAATAAAGAAGATTAACAAAGAACACAAGTATTTACGTGGTGTTTGATGTCGAAGGCTCAGGTTGGCCAGTCATTGCCACATATGCCCCCCATGTACAGGTGAAGCTATATGAGAACTAAACAGCATGTGAAATTGATCGTCGTGCAGCATTCGACTGAAAGATCTCATCCCATATTCAGTTGATGGAATGTCGTGTGAGGGCACTTGGAAGGGCTCTATGTTGTAACCGGAAATATATGTAGATTGTAGTTCTGGGCGAGTACTTTGTTGGGTACATATAGGCACCATTTCTACATATATCTCAGTGGGAACACCCTTCATTGCAACAACGCTCCTCAAATCTTTCAAATGTTTATTCGTAAAAACAGGTAACACTTGAACCCATTGCCAGTTTCAAACCTTATTTTAATGTTTATTTCAACATTCCTTGGGTTTGAACTATACTACTATGAACCTCGTTCATCAAATCATTGAAAGTCATGTTCGGTTCAAGTGTTAGTGGTTCCATATTTACTCTACTATACTCGACACGGGGTCCATCGAACAGAATTTCACCTCCCCACCGGCATAACAAAACTACATTTTGTGCAGTCATATCCTACATAACAACCAAAACACATTACACTTAAAGGCACTAAATCATCCCTAAATCGCCATAATTAAACAACAATGTAGACATACTTTTCAATTACAACAACTTAGTATTACTAAATCAACATTAATAAACAATAATGTAGGTTATCACAATCACTCAAAAACTAACCATTATCAACCATTATCAACATTATCAACAATTACCAACACTAACAATTCAGCATTATCCAAACTATTATCAACACTAACAATTCAACAATTACCAACACTAACAATTCAACAATTATAAACACTAACAATTCAACATTACCAACACTAACAATTCAACATTATCAAGATTTTAACCACAATTCCAAAAAATTAAAAACCAATAACATAAACCCTAGATTTTAAAAACCAAAGAGAGATTGAGTAAATACCAAATTCGGGTTGAAGTGAGGCTAGGTTTTCGGGGCTTTCGGCGGCTGGTCGTCGGAGTGAGACAGCGGTGGAGGTGGCGACCTGAAGGAAAGGGTTTTGGAGAGAGAGAGAGAGATTAAGTGAGGGAATGGAAGTGTGGGAATGCAGAAGGGAGAAGCTCGCTCCCTGTTATAACCGCAAGAAACGCTGCCTCAGGCAGCGTTTCATTAACAACATTAAACGCCGTTAAGAACATTAAATGATGTCTCAGGCAGCGTTTTAAGGTATTTGTTTTTTTAATTACGAAATTTAAAAAAAATAAAAAAAAGTCAACAGGTAAAACGTTGTCCCAGACAGCGTTTTACACATTGAATTTTTTTTTTTTTTAAAAAAAACCAGGGTATAAAACGTTGTCCGAGACAGCGTTTTACCCTGGAAGCTTAGTTTGGGAAATAGTTTTTCCACGAGTCTAGTTTGCAAAATACTTTGCAAAAAAAGCTTAGTTTGGGATAACGTCCATAATCAAATGTATTATACAATAGTATAAGTTGTTCTTTATCCTTGGTGAATAAGTTGAAATTCGAGTAGAGCACTAATCATATGTGATATTATAAAATAAGATTTCAAATGAGTCATAATTTGAGGTGATTTTCATCAATAGAATGAGGAAAATAAATTATAGCAGGATGCTTACCAGTCTGAGAGTCGTTTTAATGATATTTTAGCTTTATTAATGATGCCAGGAGAATACCATAAAAGAGATCAATGTTCTTTTTCTCATACTAATTCTTCATATCTCCCTTTTTCTACACTCATGAAAAAATAATCTTCTAATATGCATATATTTTTTTCTCCACTAGATTGCTTGATGTTAGTGAATTTTATACTCAAATAATAAGTTGTCTACAAACTTAGCTTTATGATACTCTATTATTTACTCTCAAATATGTTCGAAAGCTGCACTGAGTTAAGAAGTCTTAATGAAGAGGTTCGAACCCTCAACCTTTTATAACAAAGATGACTATTTAACCATATAAGCTAATTATTAACTACTCCGTATGTTATTAATATGTAAAAAAATTATATAAGTGCAAACTACAAGGTTCAATTAACAAAAAATAATAAAATACTCAATGAATAACTCAATTTTGGTTGGACAATGACAATTGCAATTTTGAAAAACCTTCAAAAAAAATTATTGATGGCTCATCTACTACAGTAGCAACCAAAAAAAATTATCGATGGCTCATCTACAACAGTAGCAACCCGGGGCAACGCCCCAGCTACTCACTAGTTTTAGTAATTAAACTACTTTAAGATCAATTGTTTTCTTCGTAGACACTAAACACTATGTCTCTCTCGATTCATTTGTGATACATATGGTATTATATCGAGTATGGGAATATACAAAGATGATTGAAGTTCACATGCATGTAGTTTTAACCGGTTAATGCAATTTTACCTAGTACAATAATTTACATGTAGTACAATAATGTATACTATTATATTCCATAATTTTGGCTATATAGAGAAGTTCACGTATTGTGAACCGGTGTGTGTAAAAATAAAAAGCTTCTATCATATTGCTTACTTTCTATCTTTATCTCTTCACTGATAACACGTTATCAGCACCAATTTCTAGTCAGGTATATTTATACCTATTTATGCCTACTTCTCAAAATTTATAACAAGTAATATTATCCACTTCTAAATGTTTTGAGGAGTATGCTTTATAGTTGCCCATATTTGGGATCCTCTATACCAAAAACTCAAACATTTACTATACCATATATTATGCAAATCCTATCTCAAAAACAAAAAATTTCCTTACCTATGAAATTGTTACTATTCTTCCTTGTTTTTGTTCAATTCATGTTGGTATTTTGTTTTTTGTTCAATTCATGTGATATTATATACTCACCTATTATGTAAAATTTGGTTCTAGTTATATGATTGCATGGTAGTAACTTACATAACTTTACATGTATATTGACTATAATTGACAAAAAGATGCAGCCTTTATACTTATTATTTTTCTTTCTTTTACGTACTTTTTCTGTTTCTTTCCGTTTTCGAACCCATGATCTTTTATAGATATTAGGGCTCTCGGACCACTATGGCTTGCATTCCCAGTGTGATAACCTTCTACAATTATAAATATTTATATTTGAATCATAATTTGTGTCAGTACATTAGACTATTATATGATATTTTTACAGTTGTACAAAATAGTTACGGATAAACCTACCTTTATAAAAGGCAGATTTTTCTCCCGATTTCACCACCTTCTTCTCCGATATGTTTCCCGTTGACAACAACCAAAACACCCACACCTTCACTTTTGAGGAAGATTTAAGGAAAATAAAGAATAATTTCATTCTAATTATGGCGCTCATAGTTTTGTTAGTAGCAATATTAATTTTTGTCATTATGTACAAGTGAAGCTCATTTATTTTGTCATTTCGGTAGTTTAAAAGCTTGTTTTTGTTTTATTATGTTGTTATTAATCATCATTGTATAATATTACTTGTTATTATTATAATTATTATTACTACTGTTATTGTTGTCGTTTTGCTCATTTTGTGACTAACATGATTTATTTTTGCCTAATTATATATATTTACTCACAATAATAAACCAAGGGGGAGAAAAGAACTATATTCTTTATGGTTTATTATTGTTAAATAATATTAATTATCACGTGTTTCATTAACCTAACTATAAATATGGAATAATTAAACATATGTGTTGTACATACGATTTATTATTATAAACTAATTATCACGTAATTTGTTGTAGTTAAAATGGGAGATCTTATGAAAAGACAGTTTAGCATCCTAGATTTATCTGGAAAGAAATTTCTGGAATGGAAAGTGGATGCAATGATGAATTTGAAACCTCAATGGTTGGAGCACACTATTAAAGATAATAAAAGTCCCTCAAGCAGCCGATACTACCACTTCTGCAATGACGATTGTATAACCTGTAACTGAACAAGAAAAGGCAAAAGCCTTAGTGTTGTTAAGACATTATTTACATGAAGGCCTTAAAACCGAGTACATGATGGTTGAAGATCCCAAAAAATTATGGGATTACCTTAATGAAAGATTTGGACACCACAAAAGGTTACTCCTTCCTAAGGCATTATTTGATTGGACAAATTTACTGTCATAGGATTTCAAATATGTAATTGATTACAATTCAGCCATACATGAGATAGTATCTATATTGAGATACTGTGATCATTCTGTCACCGATGAACAGATGATAGAAAAAACACTCACTACCTTTGATAAGTCTATTTTATATATATATATATATATATATATATATATATATATATATATATATATATTTATTTATTTATTTATTTATTCCCCGTCCCAATGGTCATAATTGTGTTTATTTGAGCTCTACGAGCTACTTTTGTTACTAATATGCGTTTTCTAGTGTTTTCGTAGATTTGGTATTGT